TGTGAGGGTGTGAATTGTGAGAAGATTGACAAGATTCACTCAAGATTGCAAAAAATCCTTCCCATCCCACCAACTGCTTAGCCCATCAGCCAAGGTCATCCATGACAACTTTGGTGTTGTGGAAAGGCTCAAGACCACTGCCACCCAGAAGACTGTGGATGGCCCCTCTGGAAAACTGTGGCATGGTTCACTGCACCCACAAAAATGAAGAATATAATTGGTAAAACCAATTTTATGTCCTTGACAATTGTGAAGCTTCCTAGTCCTGTTTAGCAGAGTCAGTTAGTAGTTGGGTAACAGCATTATTCTTGGGCAAATCCATTTCTTATCAAGCCTAGGAACTAATTATATCAACATATTGGATGTTAACTGGAAGCTTTCAAATGTGTTTACAAGAAGAAGAAAACTAACTCAGAAACACGGAAAGAGGGGAGCATCAAATAATGATTTGGGCAACACTGTCTAACATCAGTAATTGATGGGGGAAGTCCTTCTGTGTATATGTTTGTCTTATTGGTTGATAAATAAGGCACTGTTGGCCAATAGGAAAGCAAGATAGGCGGGACTAGAAGAAAAGGAAGATTCTGGGAAATGTAGTAGAGAGATAGCCATGTGATCGCCGACAAGAGAGGATGCATGCGGCCGGCGTCTTCGTCCTCCATAAGTCTTTATAAAAATATATAGATTAGTAGTTATGGTTGATAATTAAGACTGAGCTAGCATATAAGAAACCTTAGTCATTGACCAGCAGTATTGTAACTAATATAAGACTCTGTGTGTTATTTGGGGGCGGCATAAATCAGGCAGTTGTCGGAAAGAGTTATCCTTAAATGTAATGACAGTTCAATGTCCTCCATTCAGAAACCTCAAAATGATGAAGCCACTTGCAAGGATGAAGCAGCCTTGGCTTTGGCCCAGGGTCTTGCTCTTCCCAGTATAGAAACACACAACTGTAGTAGAATTGGAATAACAGCTATTGAGTGGTTTCAGAATTAGAACTTGAATCCCAAGACTAGGCCTCCATAATGCCCACCAGATGCTGCTGTCTGGTCACCTGGGAACACCTTCTTGCTTTGCTTAGTCTCTACCAGGAATAACTTCTTTCTTTGCTCAGTCTTTATATCTCTGGTCTGGTTCAGATTAACTCACAGCAGCATGCATGACTCTTACAAAATGGTATAATCATTTGTTTCCATGCTGGAGGCATTACTTCTGCTGTTGCAGCAGCCTCTGATAGGAGCTGGGCATGCCAGACAGATGATTTAGCTAGAACATATGTGTTTAACCTATTCAAACCCATCAGGCCTTCTGGGAAAGGTTCCCTCTTTATTAAAGGGAAGAATGACACTTAGATGAAAACCTAGAATTCACCCAAACCTCTGAGTGAGAAGGTCAAATAGAAGTTACCAGGAGCTGGGGAGAGGTGATATTTGGAGTTAATGGGGTTCAGAGTTTCAGTTTTGCAAGAATATATTTGTAGAGATGGCCACTGACAGTGGTCACACAGCATTCTGGATGTATTTAACAGTGCCAAAGTACACACTGAGAATGATCAAGATGGTTTTTATAAGAAAGGAGAAAGAAGAACTAAGACATCCTACTTCCTGTTGTCAGATGCAGCTTGGTGAATAGGTTGTGTACATAGTTTGACAGCAACTTTATAACTATGAGGGTAGAAACCTAAAGACCAGGGCAAACAATGAACAGGGAACTACAGAGGATCACTGGGACTCATGTTCTCATTTTTGCATATGTAATAAACACATAGTAAACCACAAGCATACAGCATCATGAAAGGTCACAGATAAGACACTCCCTGTAACTAACATCTTCCCTTCACCACTTGTACACAGGGACAGATATTGTCTTAATATCTGACAGTGCAGAAGGCTTTTCCTGCATTAGGGCTTTGCACAGATGGAACCTGCTGGTTCTGATGGACACAACCCTTTCCTAAATACACAACACACTTCCGTATCTGGTGCTTTTCCTTTAATATGTCTATGAGAGTCATCCGTGTTTCCTATCACTATAGATCATTCTTTCTCACCACTGAATACAATTTTACTTAGAGGCTATGTTGTAATTTATCCATTTTGATTCTTGACAGGCATGTAGATAGTTTCCTAATTTGGGCTATTAAAAATAGTGACTCTGTGAGTGATTTCTACTATGAAGAATGCTTGGAAGTGCCGAGGTGTAGAGTTGCTAGGTCTCTGGATATGCCTATGTTCACCACTAGAGAATCTAGGCAGTTTTCTAAAATGGGGATGCCAATTTGGATACACACTGGTAACATATGAACATGTGTTATCTCCATGTTTTTGATTCCTGGATCCTTCTCAGCCACTGAACAAACAATTCTAGAACTCCCAAATGCTCAACTCATGTTGAGTGGTTTTTTTTGTTTTGTTTTGTTTTGTTTTGTTTGTTTGTTTTGTTTTTTCAAAACAGGGTTTCTCTGTGTAGATTTGGAGCCTATCTTGGCACTCGCTCTGTAGACCATGCTGGCCTCGAACTCACAGAGATTTGCCTGCCTCTGCCTCCCGAGTGCTGAGATTAAAGGCATGTACCACTGACGCCCGGATCATGTTGAGTGTTTAAGCAGTTGTTGTGAGTTTCTGTCACACACAGCCCAAAGTTTCTCAGCTAATAAGGGACTGTGTGAGGGAAGGTCATTGCCCTTTAAGGCCTAGTTTCTTTCAAGTCTGCTGGGTCTCTCCCTGTCATGGCTAAGGATGGGAGCGGGGCCTGAGTGATTTCTTTGGGCCTGGCTCACAGTTTGCTCATTTCCACTTACCACCACTCATGTGGGCTTGCTAATTCTCTCCTGGACTATCACAAATACTCTGCTGATGACAGTCTCACCTGAAGTGCCCCCCCCACCACATTGTCTTCAGACCACCCACAGTACTAACTGCCATGTGTACCTCTCAGTCAAACTCCAGTGATCTTCTAGAAAATCCAACAATCAACCGCCTTCTTCGAGAAGCCATTTAGCTGCCCAAAAAGCAGAAAGAGGAAAGACCTTGGCTAAAGAATCACTCACTAGCCAGGTGTTGGTGGAGCACGCCTTTAATCCCAGCACCCGGGAGGCAGAGTCAGGCTGATCTCTGTGAGTTCGAGGCCAGCCTGGTCTCCAGAGCGACTGCCAGGATAGGCTCCAAAAGAAGAATTACTCACTGTGGTGACTACAATCAAACTTGTTTGTTTAACAAAGCCTGTGAGAAGGATATGATGTATATTATCTCATTTTCTATTCACCTAGAGGATCTTGCACCCATTTTTATTCATAGCCCTTAGCTCCAAATCTACCCTTTATTACCTGCTCTGTGAAAATGATGTTGGGCCTTAGATGTACAGCCATCTCTTGATGTCTGTAGGCAATCGGTTGTGAGAAACTCTGTCCCTAACATACCAGATTTTTGGATGCCCAAATCTGCAGATGCTCAATACCTTTTATAAAAGGATAGGGTATTTGCAAATGACCTACACATATCTTTATGTCATACAGCACACTATTTAAATATGTAGTATTTAAATATGCAAACAGTTGTATTGTATTGCTTACAGAATAAGGACGAGAAAAAGTCTGCACATGCTCAGTACACACATAACTTTCTTGCATGTTTTGACCCGCTCTTGATTGAATCTGCAGCTTGTCCATGGATCCAGAAGGCTGTGCTAAGTAGCGCCATGTTAAATCTTGGCAGTAGAGGGCGCTGGAGAGGCACCACCCGCAGAACCATCCTTAGTTCCCAGGGCTCCTCCCCATCACGCCTCTGCTGAGTCACCTCTTCATCGATGATCTTCCCTGGCATCAGATGCTGGAGTTGAAGTATGTTTGGGGATTTCCAGCATGCTCCACCATCCGCCATCACCTCGTCTACTCTGCCACTCAGCGAACTAGGACTGTGCCCTTCTCCACTGTGTACATCTCAACGTGTACATTGCAGCCCTGGGCCGGTGGGAGGGAGGTCTGAGGTTTCTGACTGAGCCTTAATTAATATGCCTTTTCCTCCTCATCTTTGGGGGCTTTTGTTTTATTTCATGGGGGAATTTTTAGTTGTTCTTCTTTCTCCTTCCGTACTATTCCTATCTGATCAGCTGGGCTAATTGACTGTAGCTCCTTACAAACTCAACCATCAGTTTAAATTTCGCCATTTTGAGAGTCTTAAAAACAAACAAACAAACAAAAACACGCTAGGCAAACAACTGCCTGAAACTCAGAGATCCCTCTGCTTTCCCCACCCCTAGCAGGGGATTAAGGTCGCGTGACCACACCCATCCAATTTCACTTTTTGCAGCGGCTTTCTGACTTGCATACAGTGACTGACTGCTCTTCGTCATCCCCACTTGTGCAGAACTCTCACTTAGGGTCTGCCTCCAGGGGCATGCTGGGACTCTCTGGTGTGGATCATTCACTCAGTACACCCACATTTTATCTGTCTTGTTTTGTGTGAGACGATCACATGTAGGCCAGGCTGGCTTTGAACTTCTGATCTTCCTGACTCTACCTCTCAAGTGCAGAGATTACAGCTGTGTACCACCATACCTATATGCTTTGAAGTTGGGAATGACTAACACATGCTTATAAGCCTAGCATGTGGGAAGCTGAGGCAGGAGGATTGAGGCCACCCTGGGCTACAGTCACAAAACAGGTACACAAAGAAAAGCTCATTTCATTATCTAGCTGGGGCATGGAGAAGAGTCAAAGGTACACAGATGTTTATTCTGCTGTATTCCTCAGGACTCCTATGTGCATTCTTTTGAAGTCTACTTTTCATTTTTCAGTGCCGGGATAGAGTTCAGGGCTTCCACACACACTAGGGAAGTGTTCCACCACTGAGTTATACCCTTAGTCCTAATTTAACAGTGTATCAATCATACATATTCTTTTGTGATCTCTCTCTCTCTCTCTCTCTCTCTCTCTCTCTCTCTCTTCTCTCTCTCTCTCTCTCTCTGTGTGTGTGTGTGTGTGTGTGTGTGTGTGTGTGTGTGTGTGTGTGTGTTTTGAGACAGTCTCACTGGATAGCCCAGGCTGGTCTCAAACTCAGCCTCTAAAGTCACAGCCTCTAAAGTCCCAGGATTACAGGTATGCACCTTATTACAATGTTTTCTTAAATTACTAACACGTTTCAAAAGGCCTTTGCTAGTTTATGCTGAGGATATGATGGCCCTTTTTTTTTTGGAAATTAGGTTGATTACATTTGCTTGCTCTTGAGACTTTATAAAGGTCATGGGTAGGCCTGTATAGAGATGGAGGTGCCCTCCCAGGACCCTGCCAGAAGTAACAGAGGCAGCTTGTCTCATGTGTAGCACTGTTCACTCCCAAGGGCTTCTGAAGAATTCATAAACAACTGGAATTATCCGCTTTGATGCCCCACCCAGCTGTCAAGGACAGAGCATCCAAATGTCAGCTAAGTAGCAGTGGACCCAAGGAAATGCAATGCTCATTATTTTAAACTTGGTGTATGTGTGTAAGCACATGCATGCATGCATGATGTGTGTGTGGGCATGTGTACCATGACATATGTCTGGAGGTCAGAGGATAATTTTGTGGACTTTGTTCTCTCCTCACTTTTGTGTGGGTTCTGGGAATTGAACTCAGGTCATCAGACTTGCAACAAGAGCCTTTCAACACTGAGCCATCTTTGGCCCTCCCTTTTCTTTTTCTTTCATTTTACATCTAATTTTGCTTTTCATCTATGAAATAAACCTGTCACAGGTTTCTTTTGCTTACAAGGAAACAGTGTGCAAAAATGAATTTCTGCCTAGAATTTATTTTCATCACTGTTACACATACAGGGTTTCTGTGTTCCTCCACAGAGCTAAGTTGGCTTCATTCAGGATCATGGTCTAACTTCTGGTGGGTGTTACATGATGTCTCACCCTTAAGCTCCAGTTTGTGACATGAAGGAAGGCGGCTCTCTACGCCTTGGGTTATAAAATGTGCCTACAGTGATGTAACGGCACAGAAATAAATATGGGATACTCAATGCAGTGTTAAGCTCTGGAGAAACTTACACAGAAACTGAAAACAATTTTGACCCTTCAAATCTTTGCCCTCCTCCACTCACAAACACAGACAGGCAATTCACAAGTAAATGCAAACTTTTCAACAGCCATATAGTTTGTAGCCATGAAAGAAAAAAAAAAAAAAACCAAAAACAAAAAACCCCACCCAGAAGTCAAACATTGCAGACAGAGCTTTTCCTTGTCCTTGTCAGAGCTCAAAGAAGGTCATCCAACTACACAAGCCTTTGGGTTGAGAGCAGCAGGGACCGGGGAGGTTCGGGACAGTGTTCCTTTCATGAACTGAGTGAAGACTGAGCTTATTCATGGGGTTTGGGGTGCAGTTGAACTTCGTGATCTCCAGGGTTCTATCTACAATCCTGGAAGGGGCTGGGTTCTGAGGGGCTTGCTCACCCTCTGGAGGGCAATGTGGGGTGTGGGTCTGAACCCAGCATCCACTGTGGAGGTGCTGAGGTGGGAACTCTGATCTTGTCTCTGCAGCTGCTCTTGAGACATTTCTGAGCTTATGCTCGCTTTCACGGACTCCAGTCCAGCAGGAGCTAGACATGGATTCCGGAGTCTCAATACAACCTTTTTATGCCACTCACTCACAGAACAGATGCCTATTCACCGGCTGCATGGTTCCAACAGAGGAGAGGTTAGGAGAGAGAGCCTGCCAGGTAGGAATGGGGCAGGCAGGGCACTCAGGAAGGGAGAGAGGAAAAGGCTTTCCAAAGACACTTTCATTGATGTCTTGCATGCATGACTGACAAATGCGTTTCCATATTATTCCATATTTCACCATACTAAATCTTTCTTTCTTTCTTTCTTTCTTTCTTTCTTTCTTTCTTTCTTTCTTTCTTCCTTCCTTCCTTCCTTCCTTCCTTCCTTCCTTCCTTCCTTCCTTCATTTCTTTTGCTATATGTGACGGGGGCAAATGCGTGTGTGTGTGTGTGTGTGTGTGTGTGTGTGTGTATGTATGTATGTGTGTGTGTGTGTGTGTGTGTGTGTGTGTGTAGAGGCCAGAGGTTAGTGTTGGGTGTCTGCCTCTCTTTGCCTTAGTTTTTGAGACAGTCTCTCCCTGAACATGGAATTCATTGGCTAGGCTGGCCAGTGAGTACTGGTACCTACCTGACTCTGCACGTCAATGCCAAGCTTTTCATTTGGGTGTTGGAGATCTGAACTCAGGTCCTAATGCTGGGACAACTAGCATTTTACTCATGGAGACATCTTCCCAGCTCTGTTCTTATTTTCCCTTGGGATCAGAGGGGACATATCAGTATGTCCCCTGTTACAGAAGCTGTAACAGTCAGCATATCCCCTCAGTAGGCTCTGTGTGAGCAGACTGTGGCATCCACATTGTAGCACCAGAGTGCCACTCACTCTCTGTCTGGTGAAACAGTCCTTCTGTGTTTATCGAGCATCTACAGACAGCAGGCCACAGGGCTGTGCCCTGGGGCCCTGTTCTCAGAACCCATAGGGCAGAACTCACAATGTATGAGGCTGAGGATATCCTTCATTTGGTGGAATATTTGCCTAACACACAGGAAATCTTGGGTTCTAGACCGGGTACCACATGAACAGGTCATTTGGGGCATGGTGGTGCTTGCCTGTAATCCTGGCACTCAGGAGAGTGACAGCTTCAGTGACCCCTTTTATCTGTCTTGTCACTCATGGCTTCTCACCTTAATTAGCCTGAAGCTGCTGTTACATTTGTGTGTGTCAGCAGCCTTTCCCAGGACAATGGAAGCTCGGAAGGGTGAAGCCCTCACTCACTGTCCTAATTTATAGCAAGGTTGCTGACTACTCATTAGACAAATGACTGTTCCTGGGTCAGATAGGAGGCTGTGACAGTCAGGGAAGGCTTCACAGGATGTGACATTGGATTAAGACCTTACAGAAAATCTGTGTTGCTTGAGAAGATAAAGCCATGGGAAGGGGATTCCAGGCCCTGGGGTGCTGGTGGAATGGGAGAGCAGAGGGCCTGTGTTCACAGAGCTGTCAGCATGGGTGGGAGAGTGGCCATGCAGGATCCTGTGTGCCTTCCCTGGGGGAGAGAAGCAAGGAAGGTCTGGGGGGGGGCGGAATTGAAGCTTGGAGTATACCTGGGAAAGCAGCCTGGAGTTCTCTGGTCAGTAGTAAGACAGGCTAGGTGAGAAAAGCTGAGGGTCATGTGATCTGAAGTTTCCAAAGAGTCTCCGAGGCTGATCGATTGCTTAGAACGCTTGATTGTGGAAGGTTGGAATGGTGCAGATCTGGTCTCACTTGCTGGGTCAGCTGCGTGGGGTGTGTGTGGGGGGGGGCAGGTGGCGGGGGCAGGACTAAGGGATGTAAGACAGGGCTTGCTAGGCATTTGTTGTCTTGGAAGCTGTGGCTTGACAAGGCTGGCGTATGGACTCTAGACCAATGGCTTTGCCCAGTGTATATTTTTATTGTATTGTTCAACCCGCAACTGGATTTCTTAGACCACAAGTGGCTGTGATGTGAGACATAGATGTTTATGTCTCCTGAGCCTTTTTCCCCTCATCTGACCCAGGCACGGCATCTACTTATGGAGGCTTAATCACAATGTTGGAGAAAACAGAATGCCTAGAATGAGAGCAGACAAAAAATGGGCTAGGAACTAAATGGAGGCAGGAGTGAGGCAAAGGCTTGGACCTCTCCAGAACCATTCCAGTCCTGACTGTAGAATGCAGGGCTACTTCCTTCTAGGCAACTTGTGGTCGGGGAAAGAGCATAGAATTGGGGCAGGGGACTCACGCCTCTATAACAGTTAATTCAGTGCTCAGCCTAACAGAAATCCTTATTGAGGAGCAGCTGCCTAGGGCTGTGAGAGATGGCTCGGCAGTTAAGAGCACTGGCTGCTCTTCCAGAGGTCCTGGGTTCAATTCCCAGCACCCACATGGCAGTTCACCACTGTCTGTAACTTCAGTTCCAGGGGATCTGACATGTTCACACAGACATACACGAAGGCAAAACCCCAATGTACATGAAAGAGAGAGAGAGAGAGAGAGAGAGAGAGAGAGAGAGAGAAGCAGCTGGTTTTGATCTCCTGTGTGCTCTCTGTCAACTTGTCTATGCGCAGGCCCAGACAACACCTACAATCCAGGGATGCACACATGCACCTAGTCCACCTTACTAATAAAACACTCTGTGTTTTGGGGACATAACTCTCAAGGAGGCCTGAAGATGAGAGAGATACAGACACTGCCCCCCCCCCAGAAACCCATTGTGTCCTTTGAGCTCATCTCACAGCTCCCCCCTCCATCAAAAACAGCTGCCTGTCTCCTAGATGAGCTCAGGCGGTCTGTGAAACCATGGCCCCAGAACAGCTCAGACTTGAGTGTGCCAGTGGAGACACCACTAGAGAAGAACGAATAAGCAGCCCTGATGGGACTGGGTTTCTCGCCAGGGGTCCTGTGTCGTGACTGGAGCAGCTGGATTGCTCAGGAGGAACTGAGGTGGTGATGGGGTGGTGGTCACTTGGGCTAGTAGGTAAAGGGGTGAAAAAACCTATTTGAGGCTCTTTTCCTTCTTTCCCTGTTGCACCTCTACATATGGCCACACGGGGGCAGTGTCCTTTTAGGGTTGGCCAGGAGAACTGGTTGGCGATGGGGATAGTCCTGGGCCCCACAGCTTTCACTGTGTTAGGTTTTTGCTTAAATTAAAAAAGAAAGAAGGGGCACAGGATGAGACATGAGACTAAGAGACATATTAACCAGTTGATTACATCACGGAGAGGGAGTGAGAGAGAAATAGAAGAGAGGAGGAGAAGAGGCAGAGAGAGAAGAGAAAGAAGAGAGCATAAGTGGGCAGGGCTCTGTGTTTTAAAGGGGTCTTCTACACCTGCTGCAGACTTCGTTCCCATGGAACCCTGGGCTGACCAGGGTGCTGCCTGAGTGGATTCTGCCAGGTAATAGGGGCAGGCCAGCATAATGCCTGAACCTTTCACTCTGAGGTCCCTTGGCAGAGTTGAAATAACCCCAAAACCCTCCCTGAGACTGGGACCAGCATGGCTTCTTAGACGCCTTAGACGGGAGGGGCCGAAAGTGAGGGTGAGGAAGCACAGCTTGTGGTGAGGTAAATCGGATGGCTTTCCAGAGAGGAGCCACAGGGGCAGCACAGGCTGGGTCTGTCAGAACTCACCAGGGCTGCCACTTCGTGGGCAGGAGGGTCTGTCACAGTAGAGAGGCAAGACTGAAATATGCAGCCATATGCCCCTATGGTACACCTGGGGTCCCAGCCTAGCACAGACCAGTCCACTCCTGCTGGTTCTGTTTTATTGTTTGTAATAGTGTGTGTGTGTGTGTGTGTGTGTGTGTGTGTGTGTGTGTACATCTATGTGAGAAGTCAACACTTGGTTCCTTCCTTCCACCTTTCCATGGGGTTCCCAGTGATCCTGTGCAGCTCATCATTGGGTGGCAAGTGCTTTTATCTGCAGAGCCATCTCCAAGACTCTGGTCCCAATTTTAATGCTACAGGAGACTCAGCCAGACCATCGCTCTGGGGCTTCGCCTACACCAGAATGTGGATAGTGCTAATACAATGGCCAGCCACCCTAGCACACAGAGCTCTTTGAAGGGAAAATATCAAGAGGTCCACGTGCCCGCTCCTGCTGCCCAAGGGCAAGTGTTCTTTAGCCTCTAGATGAAGATGGCTCTCAGGGCCTGGGAGATGAGGACTAGGGTAGGGGCCTTGAGCAGGAGTCAGGGACCAGATGGAACTCTGAAGACCAGAATTGACTGTTGGCATACAGCCCTGTACAATACTTGGGCCAGACATGGATCTAGATTTTGTAGGGTTTGAAGTTTGGGGACCTCTGTAAGAAAAATAGCACAGGACTGGAGAGAGGACTCAGGGGCTTAGAGCACTTGTTGCCCTTTCCAAGGACCTCGGTTTGGCTCTCAGCACCCACGTGGCAGCTTGCAACAGTCAGCAACTCCAGTTCCGGAGCCTCCTCAGGCATCATTGAACTCACATGATGCACAGATACACATGCAGGCAAAATAACCCTCTATGTAAATGAAAACAAATACATCTTAAAAAAAAAAAAAGAAACCAAGCACTGAATTACAAGTAAAAGCTTAGGTATAAAAGTAAACACTTTTTTAGGATAAGAAAAAAATGTCCTATCAATTTATGAATTTTTAAATCAAATATCATAAAATCAAAAAGTTAACATTTTTAAACTGGCACATCATTGTAATGTTTTTCCATTCATTTTTGGATGTATGGGCTTTGATCACCACTTCCTATGCCAACAATAACATTTTCTATTAAAAAAAACAGCTATCAAGTGCAGCCTTTTCTATAAGATGGTTGATCAAAAATTTATGGAATGCTGCTTTTAAACCTGTAGCTTTACTGTTTATTTACAGATGCAAGAGAGATCCAGTGCATGATGTTCTGTCAGCCCAAATGGAGACAAGGTATGCTGTTCTCACCTGTGTACACTGCATTATTAATGTATTCCTGGCGAAAGCTGGTCTTGGCAGGACAAACCCTGCTTTTACATTCATGGTGGATGAAAAGACTTTTCACTGAATGGCTTCTGACTCAGACACTTCCCGTCTACTTCCCGTGCTGGCTATGGAAGGTCACATCCACGCTGCACTGACCTCTTAAGTGGTAGCCAGTAAGGACAGTCCTGGAAGTCATTCACAAACCAAGGGAGGGCTTCTGCCAGAGTGTCAAAAGATAAAATCACAAGCAATTTAAAGATCTCAACTAGTATTTGTTCCTGGTTCTGTACTTGGCTGGACCTTGAGATCAGAATGCTGTGTCTGTAATATATTCAGATAACACTGAATGGACAAAAACAGACATGATAGGAAAAATGGTTTACTTGGTTACCACTTGATTTTTGCCATATTCAAACTAGGGGTCACCTGTGACTGACTGCAGTTGCCACAATGACACAGTGGACCCCTAAGTTAGCTTTGGGGATAGCAAACCAAATTAGGTTGTAGCTTGTTATCTAATAACTTAAATTCAGAGGTACCACTGGGCATGATTTTAGTTGGACGGAAAGGACTGCATGTCATATAAATAAATATTTTAAACTCAGTTTCTCTCTAGCCAGAGGCTAAAAATGGCTGCATCCTTTCCAACCTCCATTCAACCTGAAGTGTGATTAGGGGATGTCAGAATGAAACAAGAATTTATTGTGGCTAATATATTAACTCTTCTGAATTTTTTAAAGATTTTATTTATTTATTATGTATACAACATTCTGCTTCCATGTATATCTGCATATCAATTAAAGAGGGCACCAGATCTCATAAGGGATGGTTGTGAGCCACCATGTGGTTGCTGGGAATTGAACTCAGGACCTCTGAAAGAGCAGTTGATGCTCTTAACCTCTGAGCCATCGCTCCAGCCCAACTCTTCTGAATTTTATAAGTGTAAAACCAATTGTTTGGGGGTCTCTCTTCTGGAAACTCAGGAGTGCCCTTGCAAGCGTGGTGCCTTCAGGCTTTATTGCCCCTTCTTAGTGTGTGCAAAATCTACCTTTGCATGGGACCCATCACTCCTCCCTCCCTTCCCTTCCTTCTTCCTCCAGGAATCGACCTGCCATCTTTGTTCTCTGTCCACCATCTACAACTTCTGGGGAAGGAGTTTCCTCTCCTTGCAATTCCTTCCAAAGGGAAAAACAGCAAATCTCAGTCCCCAGCCTCTCCGGGCATCGCCTTTCCTTCCAGGATCATGTGACTCATTAGAAACTGGGTGGTCAGATAATAGAGGCCTAACTCAACGCTGTTATCTCACCGACTCTCACCTCCTCTGGATGCCAAAGGGTGAGTGTAGCATACACTGAGAGATGGCACATCTTTAGCTCTGAACAAAGGGCTGCCTAGAGACTGCTGTCACATTTCAGAGGAGAGCACTTTTATCCCTGGAGATGGGGTTGAAGTTCTAGTGTGAAGAGATGGGAGGGAGACTGGGGTCATGGCCACCCTCCCTTAGGCCCCATCAGACTGCACAGATGGCTGCTTTGATGAGCTATCTTTTGAGGGCAGAAGCTGTACCTTATTTATCAGTGTGTCACAGTTCTTGGTACATAGATGGTGCTGGATGGACGATGAAAACCAGAACAGGCCTGAGTGATTGACAGCTCCCAGTAGCCCCTGGGCAGCATGGTACCTCAGTGGCTATGCGCTTATGAGGGCTACTCCATACATGCTCTCATCCATGATGCTATTTTGTTTTTGTTTATTTCTGAGAGAGAGTCTCACTCTGTAGCCCTGGTTATCCTGGAGCTATCTATGAAGACCAGACTGGATTCTACTTTGTTTATCAAAAGTCTTAGAAATTAGGCAAAGAACATCCCCAGCTGCACTTTCATGAAGGAATGCCTTCTAAATCAATTGGGAAAAACAAGAAAACCACTCTAATTCTCCTGTGAGCACCAAGCTTGACCACCAACATAGAAACACCAGGGGTTTGAAGGACACTGCTGACATCCGTCCAGAGCATCAACCAAACAAAGTTGAAGGTTAAGGTTGACACTTTTGGGAACAATGACAAAGGTACACAGATGCTGTTCACTGTGGCTGTTGTATTATTATGAATGTTTGGAACCTCATCGGGTACTGTGAATTATTGTTGTAGGAAAATAAATAGCAATAAGTGTATATACAGTATAAGCTTTCCCCTAGTCCTGTGAGTTGGCTGGGTCTGTCTGGTTCAAGTTGGGAATTCCAGCTGCTCAGACAGGATTGTAATCTACAGGCTTGCCTTGGGGGAAAAGTGGGTTCAGAGGCAGCCTGAGCTACTTTCTAAGTGAGCCTGTCTCAAAAATAAAATCATGCTGAGTATATAGCTCTGTGCTAGACTTTGCCTACCATCCCTGGTTTAAAAAAAAAAATCCTATGGGTGGAGTTCCAAGAAACAACAAAGTCTGAAAGCAAAAACAAATCCAAGAGACTGCTCATCAGATAAAGGCAACTACCTAAATCTGATGACCCAAGTTTCATCTGGGGGGTTTTACGGGCCAGAAGAGAGAACTGACTCTTGCACGTTGTCCTCTGACCTCCATATACTCGCTACAGCATGTGTACCCACACTCCAAATACACCCAAAAGAAAAAACACTATAGGTTTTTTTTTAAAGTCCCAAACCATGATTCTGTGTAGTGCTGTTGCCTCAAACAGCAATTAAGAACATTCCCACAAGCCAATCTAATAAGGGCAATTTTCTTTAGCTCAGTCTCTCTTCCTGAGTGACTCTAGGTTTGTGCCACCTTGAAACTATGACAAGTTATTTCTCATTTTTCCTCAATAAATCTGTGTTTGTTCTGATTACTGCTTATCTGTGCTTCCTTTTTCTCCTTGGGCGTGAGACAAGGAACTTGGGGTCCGCTGGCCTGGGGTGTCTGGCTATTATCTGACTGTCTGGGGCCCTTGTACCTTGAGTTAAACCCTGAGAGCAAGGAACGGCTCAGTCCTCTCAATAAACCGCTCTCAGTTTGACAAATGGTAACTAATTCAAAAGTAGAAGTGATGCTATGCAGTTTTCTTAGTAAAAACAAGAACTAATGCGAACTAATTCCTTTATTATTCCTTGGGTACCAGGAACTTCTAAAATATAGGTCAGAAAGAACAGTGCACAGCAAAATACAATCTAATTTGAGATTTTCCACTTTATATTAATGAATTTACCTAGCAAAGCATTTTACTAAGTTAAAAAAGAAAAAGACCACATTTTCGTCTCCTTAAAGGGGATTTTTTTTTTTCTTGAAAGGAGGCCTTTTATATTTCATTGCAGGTCTCCCCCAACCCTGCACCAGCTTATGTATTTTTTTTTAGCTACACTATACAACTTTAAATGTTAAAGACAGAAACCAAAAATAAATAAATAAATAAATGAAGAATTCAGGAAACAAAAGGGAATGGAAGATATAGAAAAATCCCTTAAAATAATCACAGTGATCCTCAGAAAAATCAAGGTCTAGTTTTTTTCTTTTCTTCTTTCTTCTTTTGGTTTTTCCAGACAGGTTTCTCTGTGTAGCCCTGGCTGTCCTGGAACTTGCTCTGTAGACCAGGCTGGTCTCAAACTCAGTGAGATCCACCTGCCTCTGCCTCCTAAGTGCTGGGATTAAAGGTGTGCGCCAACATCACCTGGCTCTTTTCTTTCTTTGTGTATGTGTGTGTGTATATATGGGGGGGTTAATTTAGTTTTTTTTTTCTTTTGGTGTTTTGAGATGACCTCACGATATAGCTCTGACTATGTAGACCAATCTGGTCTCAAACTCACAGAGATCTATCTACCTGCTTTTGTGCTACCATGCCCTGCTTCCAGTCCAATTTTTTGTTTTGTTTTGTTTTTTAAGAGGAGGAAGGTGCTATTAAAAGAAAGGGATATGACTGAATAAGAAGCCAGTCTTGGACACTAGTAACAGTTCTAGCCCATCGGGGACTGTGAATAACAATTTGTGGAAATCTCCCAGGAGTAAGACAAAAAGTCAAAGTTATGGAAAAATAAGAACGGTCAAATATCATACTGCAGGAGTTTTAGAATGGGGGCACATTATCAACTAAACATACTCGAAAGACTTTCCGTGCCAAGTTCATAAATCACTGGTGTAAATGCATTGTGGAGAAATGAGACCCACAGCCAGGTACTTAATCTTGAGTTGTCTGAGCATCAAGAAGGTGGAGATGAGCAGGTAAGGGGAATTCACATACAAAGGACAACAATGCGGCTTCTGACCAGGACTCAAGCCAGGGGACAAGGAACAGTGCCTTCAAAGTGGTGGGGAAATGTCTTCCAGTCTTGAGTCCTAATCCAGGCCAGGCTTGTGAAGACAAAGGGACCTGGCGAATTTAGCCCTATCCACCCTTTTTGCTCGGGACCGTACTGAACAGCAACTCCACCAAAATGAGGAATAGATCAAGGAAGAGAAAAGATCAAGGCTCAAAAAGGAACTTAGGAGGGAGAGGGAAAGCTCCAGAATGGTGCTGGAGGGAGGCATACCAGGACCAGATAAGAGCAAGAGGCTGAGAGCTGGTGCAGTGGTTTCAATAAGACCACGTGCTTCATGGTCCTGGATGTTCAAACATTTGGTCTCTAGTTTGTGGTGCTGTTTGGGGGAGTTTTAGGTGGTACAGCCTGGCTGGGAATAAGGATAAAAGAAACTGGTTATGGAATTTGCCTCCATGCCTAAAGAAAGCTACTGAGGCCAGGTATGTGTCAGGGTGTCTCTGAATAGAGGCCTGGTAGAAAGGCCGTTGAGTGAAGCTGTGAAGTTAAAGCCTGGATTGCCTTGGAGACCCCTGCCCAGGAGAACTGCTAACATGGAGTAGAACCAGCCCAAGAGAAAGATCTGAAGAGTGTTTTGACATCAGACACGGAGATGCAGAGTTTGGAGTTTGCCCACCTGGTTTTCAGCCTTGCTTTGGCCCAGTATGCCCTCTCTGTGCTCTCTTCTCTGCATTTTGGAATGGTAATGTACGTCCTGCACCATCATACGTTGGAAGTATGTGATCCGCTGTTTGATTTTGATTTTAAAGGGGGATTACAGTTAAGAGATTTCCATGCACCTCAGAAGAGACTTTGAACTTTCGGACTTAGGAACAGGTTTGAAACTGTTATAGACTATGGGGACTTTTGAAGTTGGACTGAATGCATTTTTTTTCATTATTATATGGCTATAAGCCCCTGGGGACCAGGGAGTGGAATGTGGTGGTTTGAGAGAAAATGGCCCCCAAAGGGAGTGGCATTATTAGGAGGTGGCCTTGTTGGAGGAAGTGTGTCACTGTGGGGGTGGGCTTTGAGGTCTCTTGCTTTAGCTTCAGTCAGTGTGACTTTCAGTTGACCTCCTGTTGCCTGCAAGAGGTAGCACTCTCAGCTCCAGCTCCATGTCTGCTTGCATGCTACCGTACTCCCTGTCATGAGGAGAACAGGCTGAATCTCTGCTACTCTAAGTGAGCCACCCCAATGAAATGTTTTCTTTATAAGAGTTGCTGTGGTCATGGTGTCTCTTCACAGCAACAAAAATCCAAACCAAGACAATTATGCTGAACTGTATAACACTATAAAAATGAATGCCAGTTGTTCAAAATCTCTGCGTTCTCTCAATTTGATAGTGCACTTCCACCAGGCCCTCTGTGTTCAGAGACCAGGTCACCAGGCATCTAAGGCAGTCTCAGACTCTCCTGAAGCCCACCAGAGGCATACAGAAAGCCACCTTTCTCCCACTTCTAGGACAGAAGTCAGCCGCTTCCCAGTGGAGTGAGCTCCATGCTGACTCCCCCCACCTTGCTTCTGAGCTGGGAGCGCCTTCCAGATTCAGTGCTCTTTCAAATCAAAGCAGAAACCCTAAATCCTCCACCCTGCCCCCAAGCCAGCCAAACTGACTTTGCAGGAAGAGTCATTAAACTGGAGGAACCTATAAAAGGGAAAGCGTGCACAGCCCTAAACCACAAGGCGTCTTCAATTGCTTTTGTCCTTCGGAGACAGCAGAATGGATGGGCTGCCCTGGGAGACCTGGCAGATGGGAAACTCATTAGAGATGCAAGCTTTAGAGAGAGGGACCCGTGCATGTCAGGAGTTTGGGGGTATTCACTGTTGCCTGGAAACCAGAGACCAAATAGGAAACAGGAAGCCCCAGGAGAAGAGAGGCAGAAATACTTGAGCTTCATTTCCAGAGGTGAGGGCTGCCTGCCAAGGCCTGCAGGCAGACCTGAGCCTTACTTCTCCTCAGATCATCAGCACTGCTTCCCTGGGCACCCACTCCCTCCCAGCCTCGCTCTGTATCTCTTAGGGTTCTGGTGAACCTGTGACGGTGTTGGAGGACACACACACACACGCACACTCACATACTGAGCTTTGGACCATTTTCTGGAACTGATTTCTGATGAAACTGACAGCCTAACAGAGAAATTGTCTCACTCTAGGTTTCCTGCAGCTGTTTGGCTGCTTGTGCAGGGCACAGACTCCCAGTTCTATTTGTGTGACCCTGGGTGAGGCAGGTCTGTCTGAGTCTGTCCTAGAAACTGCAGCTGGAGCAGAGTGTGGCCAAGTTGGGAGAATTCCTAGGGCACGAGGTTAGCACAGAGCCCAAAACCTAAATGACCTCTACCCTAGGGACCTGCTGAACACACCAACAAGGTCCTTTTCTGCTGTGACACAGGCCTGGCTAAATGAGTCCACTTCAATGGCCTGTTCTGGTTCCTGTCACTGACATGGTCTTCACTGTCTCTGTACATCCCTTGGTCAGTCCAAAGGCAGGTGGATCCTCGTCCCCATTCCTGCCTTGGGAGCCAGATTTGTGTAGCCACACCCTGGACCTTTTTGACATTAGCACCTGTGCACCTGAAAGTTTGGGAGACAGAGGGCATGAACTTCAGGGTGAGGCAGACTGAACATTCGTGCCCTAACAAGGACAGCCTTGGACTTTGCTCTTACTTTCCATCCCATTTGAGGCAGTCTCTCGTGTTGTGTCCACAGCTTACTCCAGGAGAGCTGGTGCTCTGGCGTCCAGGGAATTAGTCTCCAGCTCACATCTCCTAGGAGGAATGATGGAATAACAGACCCAAGCCACTGTCACCATGTCTGGCTTTTACTTGGGTGTTGGGGTTCTGAACTTAGGTCCTCACGTGACATAGTGGTCTCGATTTTACCTACTGAGCACTCTCCCTTGCCCTAGGTCAAATTTTATGATTTACTGATAGGTGTCTGATTTTTGGTTTGGTTTTGATTTTAAATCTAAAAAGACCATGTCATGTGTTTCTACCAATGGCTTATGAGTGACTACATTTTGGTGACCTTGGCAGCTCTTGGTTTTAATTAGTCAGTCACATGCAAAGGCACCTGGCTCCTGGAAAAGATTTTGGAAAGTCTAGAAAAAGGCAGATGGGACCCAAGTTATGGAAGGTCTCAGGGGACAGTGGTGATGACCTCAGTGAAGAGGAGGGACATGGCTGAAGGAATATAGCCACAAACCCACACACCCAGTGCTTAGCTGATATAATGCAACTGTCACTTATCAACCCTTGGAGAGGGACAGGACAAGCATGGTCTTGTGGGAACGGAGACAATACTTCAGGAAATCAAAGACAGAGGTCTTCTTCAACTGTTTTCACTGGATTATTTTTGCCTGTGTTGTATTGCTATTGTAATTAATAAACTGAGAAACTTAAGACAACACAGATTTAGGTTCTTACAGTTTTACAGATTGGAAGCCCAGCATGGGTTTCACTGGTATCAGCGTGTCAGCAGGTCAAGTCTGGCTCCTTATCCAGACTCCAGCAGGACAGCCTGCCTCTTGGTCTTTTCTAATTTCTAACAAGGCTGCTCA